AAATTTGTGTGAAAGATGACTTTTTAGTCCCTTTTAGAAGGTAATAATTCAAAAATTTTCTTCACGTTCGGACCCAACCATGGTGGGTCCTCCTACCTCATTAAACTTGAATTCTTAGTCCCCTGAGCTAATTTCGTTGCGCTGTTCTGCATCAAGTATCCCCCCCCCCACACATTTAGCTGTTTATTAGCTAGTATTTGCAACACCAACATTAAATGAAGTGAATATAAAAAAAATTACGCTCACGTAGAGAAATAGATATTTCATAGGCAATGAAGTTTCAAGTTTGTTTTTATTGCTTAGAAGTTTGTGAAATTTTCCAAAACGAACAATCAAGAATCGTGAGTTTCCCGATTAAGTGGGCAATTGAGGTTCGCTAATCGACACTTAGGTCTATAATCGTGCTATTAAATTGGGTTCGGCTGCTAGCCTGAGATCCCCTTTGTGGTCATCCTCTTAGATTCGACCAATCACCTTCAGTTTTGCTCGTGACGTTGGGCAGTTAAAATTGGTTCTGCACGTGCATGTTGAACGGTAGCCAGAATAGATCAGTTCAGAAACTTCTCGTAATCGAGAATGGTGCTTTCATCCTGTCAAGCGTCAACGTAATTAGACGTATAATTTGCAATTTGCTATGTAGGATACAAAAAAAGTACGGGAATATGCGATTTCACGAGTTTGAAGCCGAATTACGTCTCGGCCCTTGCAGAAACGCTTGCCCATGCAGAAATGCATAGTACACAGGGCCTAGCTGTGATTGGCGTGAAGAGCATATGCGTTAGACAGGACACAAATGTGTTTCAACGGATGTGCGTTTCCTAACAACTATTAATAAAGGTTTGTGAAATGATCCATCGTCACAAAACCTTAACAGCAAGTTTAGACTTGTAAGTTAGAAAACAGCAACTAGCTACGTATGTTATAAAAGTTAAAATCACCTGAAATCACCTGAAACGACTTGAAATCAACTGTAATCATCTGAAATCACCTGCAAATAACCTGAAACCACCTGCAAATCACCTGCAAATCACCTGAAACTACTTGTAAATCACCTACATTGTTTTCGTGAATGAGATTAAGACCCCGTTTACACTGTGCCGGATAAATTTTATCCGCATCAAAATTAGTTCAGATAGGGCTCCCGTTTACACTAGACCCACGCTATCCGCACGAATTTGAGAGCGGCTATCCGGACAAAATTAGTTCACTTAGGAAAGTGGATTAAATTAGTTCAGATAGCTATGTGGTACAGTGTAAACGGTTTTATCCGGATAAATTTTATCCACATCCGCTGCGAGGCTGATTTTGATTTACAGCGAGACTCTTTCAATAAAGAGAAAGAAGGAGGCCCCCGAGGTGGCACCAAATCTCATTTCTCGTAAACAGAATCGTGTTGCTTTGTTTATTTTATCTGGACTTTCAGAATTGGGATATTTATCACGATTAACTCCAGAATCAGCTTTCGAATATCTTGCTTGAAAACGAGTGGCTATTTCATCATATTTTGTTTTCACAATCTCCCAATCAAGACCTTTCGCCACCTTTGCTGCCTTATAGTCGATAACTACTTGTATTAAAAGTGCTGTCTCTTCGTCAGTCCACGTGAAACTGGCGTCCTTTTCAGCTTTCCCTAGTTTGTTTGCCATTTCTGTGACGTGTTATTTCAAACAAAGAATTATTTAAACTATATTGGCCTAATGGGCTTTGACAATTTTCTCGGACTTTGTCTGAACGCGAATGATTCAGGTCACGTGACTGTAGTTATCCGGCACAGTGTAAACGGGAGGGCAAAGTTGACAAAATTTGTGCGGCACAGTGTAAACGCAAATCAATCCGAACAAATTTTATGCGGATAAAATTTATCCGGCACAGTGTAAACGGGGTCTAAATCTATTGTCTCGCATAAAGGACTGACAATTCTACTGGTGTGATAATTTCACTCTATCGTGCGCTTTTTTTCCTTTTAAATACTTCGATTATTTCCCACTAGGGTGATTTTCGAATTTTACCAAAAATAAAAGTATGCTAGTTCCTTAGAATGATCATACTTTGAATACCGAGCTTCTTTTGGTTACAATGAGTCAAAATAATCTTCATCAAAACGAGGCTAACGAAAAGCCATGACCGGGATCACTCAAAAAGCGAAACTGCTCTAAATACCATTGGTCACTTGGAACCTTTCAATGAATGATACAGTAACCAAATATCAGCCCTTGGGATCGGATTCTTTCCAAATCCACTGGTTTTAATCCTGACGTTGTGAGAACTGAGAGGTATTTTTGCAAAAGTTGGATCTCTTCTTCTTGCAAGTTAGAAAATCGGGTGTCCTAGCGAGGTTAATCGACTGCAACAAGGGGGTGGGGTTACCTCTGTTTAAACAGGGGGTCTAATGAAAATTTGTATTCATGTATAATCCTGATTTGTATATCGTTATTTAGGATTACGATTTACATTTTCGAAGTGGTGTCTACTTGTGTATTGTATGGGAACAATTGGAATAATTGCTGCACAACTAAGGTGTGATTGGGGAAATCAGGAATTCCGGCTAACTGTCAGGAGATTTTCAGGTGATTTGCAGATGGTTTAAGGTGATTTGCAGGTGATTTCAGGTTGTTTCAGGTGATTTCAGGTGATTTCAGGTGATTTTAACTTTTATAACATACGCAACTAGCTAACATAAAGCTAAAAATATATGATAATATCATGCGTTATACGAATAAAATTATGCAGATTTACACAAAGAGCTTCCTCCAAAATGATTCCCATAATTCAAAGCCAACGATATAAAATTAGTTGCTGATATACGACTATTCTTTTGGCTAAAGAACCAGATAAACTTGTTACATAGGTCAAGAAATTAAATTCTGGGCAATTTTTGAATAAATCACAGATGGTATAGAATTCCTACCATTCTGATGAAAAAGTAAACCAGTAGTAGTTGATTTACATCCTCCACAGCTCCATTTTCAGTAATATTTTAAGGTTTGCAAATAAATAAGGCTGAAAATGCTTACCAATCACTTAAAAAAATATAAAATTCACTATTAAAAACAAAAAATTAGTGAAATACTTGTTACAATAAACAAACCAAAATTTGAATAAAATATCTTTCACTATCTGTTGTTGCAAGCTTTGCATTTATGGGCTTTTATAAATATATATTTTGAATATCTAAAGGGAGTCTGAGTTTTTCAAGTTTGGTCATAGTGTTTCTCGTACTTTTTCCTGCAAAAATGATCGTTTGATATTGATTCCAAGGCAAGTTGACAATTGTAGTTCATCAAGAGACGTTAGATTGTAAGGAATTTTCTCCACCAAAGCTAGCTTTATCAAGCTAGAACATAAATGTGATATTGTTTTGTAGACAGGGCCGTCGCTACAAAATGTTCATGGGATGGGGGGGGGGGGTGTGGAACCAGCGGTTTGCTGACAAAATGGGTGTGACAATTGATATGGGCGTGTTTCTTAAACGGTTCTAATTATTATTGATAAAACTCGCAAATATTTATTCTCAGGGAAATTAAGATTGCAGATAATTTAAAAAGAAGAAAAATGTCTATGTAACTGTTAAAATTTATAGTTTTTTATTGTGCACTGTTCAGCATTTAATTCTTCTATGTTTCAGTTTTGCCCAGCAAGCTGCAACTGCATCTATATTGATTGCGTCGGTTAGATCTTTTTCGCATGACATTAGCATAAGAGAGTTTAAGCTGTCATCAGTCATTGTCGTTCGCAAGTAGGTTTTCACCAATTTCAGTCGGCTGAATGTCCGTTCATCTTTAGCAACAGTGACTGGTGCTGTCATCAACAAGCGATAACATATTTGAAAGTGGGAAAATTCTTTTTCTTTCTTCTGAAAATCTTGCTGCGTCAGCAACAGATGTTAGCTCTTTGCCAATAATTTTCCAATAATTTTTCAATAATTTGCCAGAAATTCCCAAACTCTGCATGCAAACTTTGAGGGTCCACTGGAACATTTTCGAGAAACATTTTCGCAAGATTATTTATTTCTCCGATGGAAGGTTCTTTCAATGGTGGTTGCAAGATAGAAAGAGGCCTTATTTTTCGGAGACATTGTGACAAGTTGAAACCAAATTGTTGTATCTGCACATCAAGAACCTTATAGAATTCTATTTTGAAGAATTGGACGATGGTCTTTGCCGTTTGGGTCTCTGGATTCTCGTCAATTCTTCTTGGCTGCCTTTTCACACGATGCTTTCGCTGAAACTCTGCAAATGGGTGCCCTCGAAGTTTTTCAGTAAAGGAGATCCCTGCTTGAATCTGAAGCTCCATTTCATCGGCGTTTGCCCGGATCTCGTTAAGGCTTTTTACCGTGCATTCAACGATTATCATTGCATCAATGACGTTCAGTTCTTCTGATTGAAACCGTCATCTTTTTAGCTTTGTACATTATATTCTTCATGAACATGATTGATTCAATAAAGTCGACCGATTCCATTTTCAAACTAAGATTGTTTGCCTGTCTTCTTGATTTGTCATCAAATTTACTTGAAGACGCGATTGTGTCAAGTGATTCTTTCACCTCTTCGTAGCTGATCCATAACGCACGAATCGACTCTGCCCTTGCTGTCCATCTTGTTTTGGAGAGGTTTCGCAACTTTAGAGCATGTTCAACACCTTCAATGCTTTTCTCGATTTCAGCGTACCTGTAAGTTATTAACATACTGTATATAAAAAATCAGATGAAAATCGCATCGTGAAATAATACTTGAGAACATTGTCTTGTGAGCACCATTCTCTTTCGCTCATACAATGCTATAGTTCATGGCATCATATCTTTGCTAAAGAGAACGTTACAGAGCAATTTTTCATTGAAAAGTTTTTCGTAGAATGAAATCAAAAATATCATATAAAAAACCAGAGAGCAAGATATGAAAGCTCCGTTGACCTGCTTATTTCTCTAAACAAAAAACGAAACTGTTGCCAACCGTGCATCAGATTGACCCACTACTTTTTAAGGTTACCTTACTAATTAGATTATTTAGTAAATAACATCTATATTATTAAATATTATTAAATGCTAATTAATGGGTGAAAATTTACTTCCTGATCAAAAGAGTAAAGTTTTTAAATGGAATATCTATGATGGCAAAGTATCTAGGCATTATCTAAATCTAAAAATGGATGCATGAAAGCTTATAACATACTAAAAAACGAACCTTTTTGTACTGCTTGTAAAGAAAACGTAAAGTTCTTCTAGCATATTAAACATATCCTTGATAATGGGACTGGCGTTGCAGCTATGTTCTAGAACAGTGTTACCCCTGTGTGCTTGACATGGAATATACGGGACAACCTTGTTCAACCTTTCTTGCAGTTTTTGTTGAGCACCGTTGTATCTACCAGACATGGATGCGGCAAAATCGTAGGATTGAAAGCACAGCTCGTCCATATTTAACGAGTGAATGTTTAATGCATCAATGATGTCCTTTGCTGTATCATCACGTGCTTCATGGCTAATAGTCGTTCCTTTGGTGTACCGTCTGTGCCAATAAATCTGCAAACCACGGTCATTTGGTCAGATTTTGATAGATCTGGTGTAGTATCTGCAGAAACACTAAACATACCAGCCTGTTTAATTTCTAGAATAATTTTCTTGTCTAACTTGATCTGCCAAGAGCGTTATCATCTCATTTCGAGATTCTGGAGCCATGTATGTGACATTGTATGCCCTAGAAGAACGACTGTTCAGCCAGCTATCTAACAGAGGACAATGTCGAGCTACCAACTGAGTCATTTGAATGAAGTTTCCATTCTGTTTCAATTTTCCATCACCACGAAAGGCAATATCTTGACGTGCCAAAGTCTTCCATCGTGAAAGCTACATCCATTAAAACCTTGACTGCTTCTAAATCCTCTAGCTTGTGCGCTTCTTCTTGGATTTTTGCATTTCGTGCAGACTTATCCAGTATGATTTCAATATGGCACAATGGGTCGCAGAACCGTGCATAAGACCGTATGGCCTCTTTGTGGCTGTCAGAGCTAAAACGCCCCGAAAGCTTACCTTTCTTGACTGTTCCGCGACTTTTCATTTTACTCCAAGATGAAACACCATATTCTGTCCACGCTGCATCTCGATTTGGTTGTTTAAACAAAGAACATACGAAGCAGAGTGCTGCATCTTTTGTGATGCTGTATTCCAAGTGGGGATATTCTTCGTACCATCTTGAACTAAACTGCCTCTGTTTATGTGCTTGTATGTCATTATTTGGCGGAAATCTTACAAGCTTTGGTTGGCAGGGTCCCTTTTCTAACAAATACTTTTTCTGATTCACATTCAGAGATTGAGGCCGCAATCCGGGCTCCCAATTTGGCATTTCAATCAGTGATTGCGGTTCTTGCTCTACTAACAGCTGGTCGTCATAATGTTTCAGTGTCTTTTTTGATAATTCATGCAGTACTGTTGAGCTGTTTTCGACAAGTAATGCAATATCAATAGTATTAATCAGGAATTCTTTAGTTTTAATTGTCTCTGCCGATTTAGTTTCCTTTAGCAAAGATAAAGCTCTCTCTAAATGCTTCACAAGATACTCCAGTGCTCCAACACAACTCCATAGGTTTACTTCGCTCTCCTCTGTGTCATCCTGAAAAGATTATGTAATATGGGGTTCATGGAATACAAGAAAATGTTTGATAATGAAAAGACAGCGATTTTTTAGGCTATTTGTCGAAAAGAGGTTTGAAATATCTGGTGATGTACTTAGAAGCCCTTTTATAAAGTGAACTAATTTCGTGTTGTTAGAAAATATTAACAAAACAAATCAAAAAATGAGTGCAAGATCATCATTAATTATCATAAACAACATGCACATGCATTTTACCTCTTTCTCTTCTGGATTTTCTAAGAGGTCCTTCATTGACCGTGAACTCTTTTGAACTGTCAATGTCAACATCCCTATCTTGCTCTTTTGCTTCAAACTCATCAACACTATACTCCAGCGCGTTGTTTTCTTTAATTTTTCCTACATCTGTTGTAGTTCTTGTGACACCATCATCACCATTTGAGCCGTTGTCAATCTGCCTCTGCCCTTCTGGTGGAGTTACTTTATAAAAAGATTGGCTAAATTAGACTCGAAGATGGCTTTAATGTGTAGTGTTTCTGCTTTTATTTGTCTCAATAAAATTACAGAGCCTTTATAACATACTAACGAGGGGGCGATTGGGCAATTGCCCCCACAGTCCCAAGTAACTTGCCATTATTTTAAAAAAAGCTATAGTCCTCCTTTTTCTATAAACAAAGACTTGCCTCCTCCAGCTAAGGTAAAAACATCTGTGTTTATTCATTTGTTTATTCATTGGTTTAAAATTTAAAATATCATGTACAATAAACAAAACTCACCATACCTGATCGTGTTTGATTGTATTTGTACTTGCATCGGCAGTGTCATTTGGATTTTGCTTATATCGAGCAGCCATCGAAAATGGATTCTTTGGCGCTCCATAAGATTCATATGGAATGCTTTTCTTTTTTAACAGCAAGTCTTTATGATACTTAATGTTGTGAGATGTTCGATAATCATCGTCAAATGTATGATTACAGCCATGTACAAGACATTTCAGTTTAGTTCTTTTTCTTTTTCTCGCGTTCGAGGAAACTTTTTCGCTCATTTTGTTAATCACACGCAGCCCACACAGAGAGAAGGAAGGTAGTGAGAGTGACCTTGCGTTACTTAGCACAGTATGATACCTATAGGTATCTATAGACTATAGAGTATGATGACATTTGGAGACAACAAATAACTAAATAAAATGTCAAGAACTGAAGCAAAGTTTCATGAACGGAAGCAACGTCTTAAGGCGCCGCATCAGAAAAATATTTTGTAATGTGAACTGAAACACATCCACACAACTACTGGTTGCCAGTTTTCAAGAGGTTTACAAAACTTCAATTTTCGAAGATTTGCCGACAAGGTTTCGGTCTGGGAGGAGCTTTTATCGTTTATTGCACCAAAGACGCCTGTTGCTAGAAGCGTCCCATTCCATTGTTTATGTTATAGGTGCGGGATTTTCCCAGCATTGTTTAGGCTTAGTCATAGGTTACTCATTCTTCAACCATGTTGTTGTTTGAACCATTGCGTAGTTTTCTGTCGTTTTGCATACTTTTGATTTAGACATGTTTACATTGCGTAGCACCATTCGGCCTAGCCCTTCCTTTGGGTTTGTGTCAGATATCTTCAATTGCTGTTCTGATTGGTTTATTTTACAAGGCGAAAAAATTCGCAGCGTAAAAGCAGGAATGGTTTCTACTTTTTCGCAGCGAATTATTCGCTGCGAATTTTCCAATCTCCACTTCTGCGCATATTTTTCGCGCATTCGCGGCGAAAAATTCGCTTCGCACGAAAAAATTCGTCTCGCGTAAATCAGGCTTAAGGGGAGGCAAAACAAGTGCACAGACCTCTTTGAGTAGCCGTAGTGACCTACGTAGTGAATCGTAAACTCCCTATTACACCGGCCACATGTGCACTGAACAGAGCCAAAATAACAATGATTTATTAGCAAACTCAAATCTTTCTTTACCATATCTCAACCTATTTAAGACATATTTGACTGATCTTGCATAATTGGAAGTATTTGTGGTGTTCTTTTATACTATGTGGCTAAAATTTTAAAAATAGCTTTTTGTGACGTCACACTTGAACTCTATAGAGTTTTTAAGTGTGCCGCAATTATAAATTTGTTTTTAAATTATCATGTTAAATACATCAATATTAAAAAAATTAAGAGCATGCATACATCTTGACTTCAAGACCAAGCACGACTAGATCCATATCGGAAAACATGTGTTGCATGTTTAGTGAAAATTATGCAAAGTTTTATGCTTTTATCACCAAAATAAAAAAATTATTTGGGCAATAGCACGTTACACCTGAGTTTCTCATGTAAACAACATATAGTAAAAATAACAAAGCGAAAAATAGGAACTAGGTGACATCTAATGAGAAAGAGCACGAAAGCATTCACTACCTACTCGTCATCATATTGGGCTTTAACACATCGTCCGTAAATTAACAAAGATGTTCTGATGTAATCTTAGCTGCCAACATTATAATCTACTCCTCGCGGATTTCTTTTCTCTTAATCTTCTGATGTTTTCGTGATTAATCTCAATATGTTTCGTGTTAGCTTTAAATTTCCTTTCTTTAAATATTACGCTTATTCATCCTTCTCCTTTCTTAATATATTTTGCTTCTCTACTCTGAGCCCACTTTTAAGTACTATTCTTGACCCTTCTTTCTTAGCCCTCATGTACGGGAATTAACATGATTCACGTGATATCTCTACGACAGTAAGACGAGAAGTCATGCATGCCTGGCTCACGAAAGAGTAAGGAATAATATCTAGAAACTAAGATGAAAAGATAACGGCAAGTAAGTAACAGTAGCAGGACAGATAGAACTCGCAGCAGGGCTGTGTTAATCTCGAATTTCATGCATATATACAAAATACCTCAGAGAAAAGAGAAGCTTCAAAACTAATTCAATATTGAAAATATTGCAATGGCGAAGTTCAAAAAATGCCGTGAAACAGCAAAAACCTTCTGTTTAGTATTGCTATACATTCAAACAAGGTAATATTTCCTGACAGACAAATCTTTTTGAAAGATCTGACAAATTCAATCGATTATAAAAAAGAAGAATACTGTCATGAATATTATGAGGGCGATATAAGACGATTTGCATTTAGCATAAGCAAAGGTTAAATCAAGAACTCGTACAAATTATATTACATATTATTTATGTTTCCATGGAGCATTAATCTTGTTTGGCAGACATATAGTAGGCTGATCTTTAGGAAATACCTTCGTTAAGAACAATATAAAGCATATGAAGGATGGTAGAAGACATTGATATATAGTAGAACTCGAGTGTCGGGCGCCGATCAAGCGTTGGAACTAGACCGGGAGCAGAGAAATGGAAAAAAGGAATAGCACAAGTTTGTACGCAGAGCTTTGGCCTTTTCTCGAATACGCCAAGTAAGAACGTCTTTCCGTGGTATTGCCGCCCCTGGTTATTTGCATCCGAGAAAAGAAAATCTTTGTCCTTCATGGATCGGCTACACGGCACCACCAAAGAAATACCAACGTTTCTTCTGGGGAGGGTGCTCTGTCTAATTATTAAATTTCTGGTGGGAAAGGTACAGGGAAGCAACGTTATGGAAGCAATACATCTTGCAGGGATTATTAGGTAACTGCAAGGTTCAACGCACTTTAAAAAGTAGAAAATGAAGGCATATGAAGAATAGCAACATTGTCTATATAAATGTTGGACACTAACAAAATTTGCGGTTACTCTGCTTTCGAAATAATTGTTAACTTTTGATTGAACACACGTTATTGGAAGCTTTTTCTTTTCTCGCTCATTGCTGCGAATGGCATACTAATGAGCAATTTTCTAGTTGAATCCTGAACTTAGTCTCATGCCCTCCAAGGCTATCCCTCGGATCTGGCATGATCAAAACTGTGCAAATTTGTATCAAAAGATGGAAAGCCTTATATTAAGTAAAGTTCTTTTCTTTTGTATATCTTAAAATGGAAGCACAGAGTAATTAACTCCCTAGGACAAAACATTAAATAAGATAGTTGCTTTTAGTTTCGAGCATGTATTCGTCACAAGGTGGTAGAAAAGAAACATTTTTCTTTCATGCTCGAAAGTCCGTGTTTTAACATATCAAACTATTTATATCATCTGGACTAAATGTTATTGCTACATATTGATCGTTATTTTTGCTGAACCTGGGTAAATCGCCTTCCTGCCTATATGAAACGGCAGAATATTTTACGAGGTGATCTGTAGACTAGAGACTGGGTCCCTTGCGTGAATACAGATAATAAAAGAATACATATCAACTTCACGCACTAATTTTCACCTTGGTTGATTTACTATCGGTTTGGATAAACTTTCGCAGTAACCTAACATGGCAAACACTCTTGGTCACTTGTGAGGCACAATAGATAAGAAACTTCAGTGCAATATGAAAAAGAATGGCTTTGAAAAGAGAAAGGTACGCTTTTTATTCTTCTTAACAAGGCTTCTAAATCAAAATATCGGGATTCACTACAAATATATCAATGATCCGTTTAGCCTCCTAACCAGTCATAATGGACTTCTTTGGTCTCTTGGGAGATTTAATATGAACTTGACACATTATCCACACATATACTTAAAAAGCGATTTCATAACATATGTTCACAAAACCTTCAAGCCGGTCTGTTTTATCGCGGGGTTGTCGTCCCGAACAGCTTCGGCATCATGACACACCGCCACAAACTCTAACACGTATTTCAAACCATATTAAAATATTGTCTTTGGATCTAACTATCAAACATGCCTTCAGTAGGCAAAATATGAAATCTACGTCATTGAACGTGACCAGCCATACTACCAGATTCAGATTATTGGTATACAAGGG